TTAGTTCGTTTTAGAGATACGGTAATTATATGTGTTCCTGCTGTGACAGTGTTAATATACTGTAATTCACAAGAATGCACGTGCTACATTTTTATATTCGGCAAGGAAAGATGATGTAATCGGCATGATTGTGTTACGTTATACATACGTGTACATTGTATTGTTTTATATTAGCCATTTTTTCCTCAGTTGGCTGACAGCGTTCATGCAAGATGTCTCGAAAGTGTGTAAACAATCCAGATCAGTTTTGTTACGTGTGTGGTGATGTGACTTTTGCGTCTCAGAGACGGTCTATTACTCCACTAATAACAAAGGCATATCAGCTTTATTTCGGTTGTAAACTAGGTGATCAAGACAAACAGTGGGCACCCCACATCTGCTGTAATACATGTGCTTCAAGTCTGAGGAGCTGGTTAAATGGCAAAAAACGGTCTATGCGCTTTGCTGTCCCAATGGTTTGGAGAGAGCCTACAAATCATATTAATGATTGTTACTTTTGCATGGTACCTTGTGTTGGACAAGCCACAGGTATGTCCAAGAAAAAAAAATCGGTTATTAACTACCCAAACATACCATCTGCGATGAGACCTGTGCCTCACAGTGACGAAAATCCTATTCCAAAACCCCCAGAATCCTACACTTGCGAATCAGAAAACGAATCAGATCATGGCGATCGAGTGATTCGTCAGGAAGAAGATATGCCATCAACGTCAAGAGATCCTGATTTTATACCGAGCACGTCATGCCACCAACCGCACAAAATAACACAGTCAGAATTAAATGATCTTGTAAGAGATTTAGAACTTCCAAAATGTAAGGCAGAGTTACTTGGATCAAGGCTGCAGTAGTGGAACTTGTTAGAAGACGATGTTTCGGTATGTGTTTTTCGTAAACGCCACAAAGACTTAGAACCATTTTTCAATATGGAGAATAACTTGGTTTTCTGCAGTAACATTAACGGCTTACTGGCGGCTTTAAATATAAACTATAACCCAGAAGAATGGAGATTGTTTATAGACAGTTCAACATTGAGTTTAAAGGCAGTGTTATTGCATATTGGAAATATTTTACCATCTCTTCCTGTAGGGTATGCAGTTCACATGAAAGGATCATATGACAATATGAAGTACCTATTGACATGGATAAAATAGGATGAGCACCAATGGCATATTTGTGGCGATTTGAAAGTTGTTGCACTTTTACTTGGGCTGCAGCTATTCTACACAAAGTTTTGCTGTTTTTTGTGTGAATGGGACAGTCGGGCAAAGGCACTTCATTACACCAGACAAAACTGGCCTGTTCGTCAATTCCTAGATCCAGGTCAAAAATATGTACAGCATATGCCATTAGTAGATTCGAAAAAAAATTGTATTACCACCACTGCATATCAAATTGGGCCTAATGAAAAACTTTGTCAAGGCATTAGATAGAGATGGGTCAGCTTTTCAATACCTGCGTCAGAAATTTCCAAGACTAAGTGAGGCAAAGGTTAAAGAAGGTATTTTTGTTGGGCCACAGATTCGAAATATTTTGAAAGATACACAGTTTGAAAACACTTTAGCAGGTATTGAAAAAACTGCTTGGAATGATTTCCGTCTGGTGGTCACTAATTTCTTGGGAAATAGAAAAGCTGACAACTATAAAACCCTTGTCAAAAATATGCTGTCATCGTATCAAAAAATGGGCTGTAATATGTCTCTTAAGATACATTTCCTACACTCACACCTGGACTTTTTTCCTGACAATTGCGGAGCCGTAAGTGATGAGCACGGCGAACGTTTTCATCAGGATATTTCAACAACGGAAAAAAGGTACCAGCGAAAGTGGAATCCTTCCATGCTTGCAGACTACTGTTGGATTCTTGGTAGAGATGCTGCAGAAACGATCCATAAAAGAACAGCAAAAAGATAGCGCATATAGTGATTCTTATAAGTATATGAATCTTGTTACTTTTTTTAATATATCCTTAAAAATAAAATGTTTTTTTTCTAAACCGCAACTAATTTTTTTATTTCATTGTCATTTTTGGATTCAGCGCCCCAAAATGAACAAAGAAGTGCACTTTTCCCACAAGATACAATTAAAAAACTAAAATTTGTTGTCCAGTGTTATGTTACATTACGAAAAACCATATCCTATTGTGTCTCTACCGTATGGAGCCCGGGCGGATGATTAAAATATTCTTACAATCAATAAAAAGTGGTGCTGGGGTTCAGCTGTATTTTCCTGTTTTTTTTTTTGGGTCGATGGAGAAATTTCGGAGAAATGCACAAAAATCAAAAAGATCACAACACAGGTCCACAAACGAATAAAAAGTTATGTGTGCTGGAGTCCCAACACGAATCTGAATTCAGAATTGGAGGTCGTTGGAGAAATCGATGCACACAAATCTTTCATGATAAGAATCAAATTATCTAATTGTCCCAAAAACATGCTTCTCAAAAACTGACGCAATCTTTACTTGGTGATCGATTAAACAAGATGTCATTTTCAAGGCCAAATTAGAAAATATTGTTTTTTGAATCTAAGCTTTAGTAATGTCAAGGTATATTATACATTTTTGGAATAAGAGTTAAGAAAAACTATATTCACCTATGCGCCTCCATAACACAACGCTTCGTTATGCTGAAGTTCTAATAAAGCCACTTTATGGAGTAGAAAAGTCACAATGTTGGAGTGCAATTTCTGTTGTAAGCCCACCTCAAATAAAAACAATTTTGGGAAATTTCGATTGTTTATCGAAAATCTCGTGAAATACAAAACCCTTAAGTGCCATTTTCTTAGTAACCTAAATATATAATTTCTGATGCTTTTGATTCTGTAGAATAAATGTTTGAACGTCAAACAGTTCCAAAGCCACAAATTCGTATCGCTAATAATTTTCCCAGTATTTGAATATGTGCATTCAACCTTCCAAAAGGTTAAAAAAACGTGTAATTTGAAGCCCTTTTATATACGAAAAAAACGAAGAGAATAATAATTAGCCGTGCATTTCATACATACAAATCGTGCCCAAAAAGTGCAGTATTCATTATTCGCGCCATGGTGAAATTTTGTAGAGCTGAAAAATGCACTGCTGTTTCACATCGATGAAAAATCTGTTTTGGAGATAAAACATTATTTTGGTTCCTCTTACAATAATTGTGACATAAATATGATATATACTAGGTGACATATAAATCCGAACACCCAGTTTAAATGGTTTTATTTTAATAAAATTTTGTATAGGTACTTAATGAAGCATAATAAGTAAATGATAAAAATTTCCAAATGATTGCACTGCTTTAAAGCCCTTTGACCTTTAATAATGTGTGGATACACCCTGATGTGCTACGCATTCTCCAACGCGTCTAGGCATGCTTCTGATCAGGTGGTCAATGTCCTCCTGTGGTATCTCATTCCAGGAAACCACCAACTCCTCTCGAAGTGTTTCTAGAGTCTGAGGAGGACGTTGCAAATTGAGCAATCTCCTACCCATCATATCCCACACGTGCTCAATTGGGGATAAGTCGGGAGATCTTGGTGGCCATGGTAACAATGTGACATCATTATGTTGAAAAAAGTCTATTGTGACTCTTGCAACATGTGGTCGGGCATTATCTTGTTGGAACGTTGGATCTACCAGGGTGTCAAGATAGGGTAAAAGATGGGGTTCTAGAACTTCGTGGATATAACGCTGCGCGTTCATGTTACCTCTGATGAAGATTAAAGGTGACCTGGAACCATAAGCTATAGCACCCCAAACCATAACTCCAACAGTGTGATGAACATGTCTTTCAACAAAAAACTGTGGATTCCTCCTTTCACCACGTCGCCTTCTAACCCTGGCACGACCATCGTGCATGCCTAAACAAAATCGAGACTCGTCACTAAAGACAATACTGTTCCATTCCTGATCCCAGAGTGACCGTTGTCTGCACCACTCAAGGCGATTACGTCGGTGTTCTCGAGTTAAAGGGAGGACCCAGTGTGGCCGGTATGAAAACAAGCCAAAGCTTCTCATTCGTCGGTAAACACTTCGCATGCCGATAGGTCTTCCGTGTTCTGCAAACCATTCATTTGCAATGGACCTGGTAGTGGAGAAACGGTCCCTTAAGGCCAATAATCTTAGGCGGCGATCTTCACGGTCTGTTGTTCTACGGCGGCGTCCAGTGCCCCTTGTTCTTTGCATACGGCCTTCTCGAAGCCATGCCTGACAACACCTAACCACAGTGTCTACACTTCTTTGCACTCTAACTGCAATTGCCCGAAAAGAAAGTCCAGCTTCCCGAAGTCCCACTATACGGCCCCTATCAAACTCACTAAGTTGACGAAATCGTACAGGTCTCCGTACTCTAGGCATCGTAACCGATCGTAAAGGATGTCAAGAACCAAAATCCGCCAACGTTGATTCTTTACTGCGGCTGAAATATTCATTTTTAGAGCGTTAGTGAATTAAAAAAAAACAGTATAACAACCGGAATGTCCAACTGATAAGGCGGAAAATTTTTTCACTTGTTATTTACAGTAAGATAAATACATTCACCAACTGTTATTAAAATAAAACCATTTAAACTGGGTGTTCGGATTTACATGTCACTATAAATTTGCTGTGCGATCCCCTAGTAACCTTTGGACGTAATCGAACAAATGGTTTATGTTTTGAAAATTTGTTTTTTCCAAGTTTCTGACCTACGTATTCAAGTGAACGCTGGTCTGGTTTGAATCGAATATTAAAGAAGAATTTGTATGTACCGAAAAGGAAAATAGACAAACCCAAACGAATAAATCATTCAGCATTTGAAACATGTATCCATGTATCCATTTATTAATAGAAGAAGAACCCAGTAAGGGATTTTTGGATACAGGAATACATTGCATCCTGTTGAGTTCCTTCACCAGGATGTTTAGATGTATGTTTATTGTACAACGTTTTTACCAACATTGTGTTTTTTGTACAGTACAGTACAATTCTGTCACAATTATGCTTGAAAAAAGCCACTGTGGTGGTCGAAACGTAGTTAACTAAACAGAAATCTGAACATTCAAATTCAAATTCCTTTATTAGGCCCGAATATACGTAAGTATAGAGAGAAACACGTCATATGTATAACACGCAATATATCAAAAGTAAAGACGAAATAAAAAACAAGCTAAAACAACAACAAACAAACTGAATACAGAAAATTTAAAACGTGCATGTGAATGCCAAGTTAACGGACCTCCTGACAAGTGTATCATTTCAGGTTCTTCAAAAACACAAGGAACTCATATGTGCTGTAGATGAGGTAGATAAGAGCATCCTCTTAAGGTGCTTTTTGGAGAGCATAACGTTATCTATACTAAGTGACATATAAATCCGAACACCCAGTTTAAATGGTTTTATTTTAATAAAAGTTGGTGAATGTATTTATCTTACTGTAAATAACAAGTGAAAAAATGTTCAGCCTTATCAGTTGGACATTCCGGTTTTTATACTGCTTTTTTTTAATTCACTAACGCTCTAAAAATGAATATTTCAGCCGCAGTAAAGAATCAACGTTGGCGGATTTTGGTTCTTGACATCCTTTGCGATCGGTTACGATGCCTAGAGTACGGAGACCTGTACGATTTCGTCAACTTAGTGAGTTTGATAGGGGCCGTATAGTGGGACTTCGGGAAGCTGGACTTTCTTTTCGGGCAATTGCAGTTAGAGTGCAAAGAAGTGTAGACACTGTGGTTAGGTGTTGTCAGGCATGGCTTCGAGAAGGCCGTACGCAAAGAGCAAGGGCCACTGGACGCCGCCGTAGAACAACAGACCGTGAAGATCGCCGCCTAAGATTATTGGCCTTAAGGGACTCCACCACCAGGTCCATTGCAAATGAATGGTTTGCAGAACACGGAAGACCTATTGGCATGCGAAGTGGTTACCGATGAATGAGAAGTTTTGGCCTTTTTTCATACCGGCCACACTGGGCCTCCCTTTAACTCGAGAACACCGACGTAATCACCTTGAGTGGTGCAGACGACGGTCACTCTGGGATCAGGAATGGAACAGTATTGTCTTTAGTGACGAGTCTCGATTTTGTTTAGGCATGCACGATGGTCGTGCCAGGGTTAGAAGGCGACGTGGTGAAAGGAGGAATCCACAGTTTTTTGTTGAAAGACATGTTCATCACACTGTTGGAGTTATGGTTTGGTGTGCTATAGTTTATGGTTCCAGGTCACCTTTAATCTTCATCAGAGGTAACATGAACGCGCAGCGTTATATCCACGAAGTTCTAGAACCCCATCTTTTACCCTATCTTGACACCCTGGCAGATCCAACTTTCCAACAAGATAATGCCCGACCACATGTTGCAAGAGTCACAATAGACTTCTTTCAACATAATGATGTCACATTGTTACCATGGCCACCAAGATCTCCCGACTTATCCCCAATTGAGCACGTGTGGGATATGATGGGTAGGAGATTGCTCAATTTGCAACGTCCTCCTCAGACTGTAGAAGCACTTCGAGAGGAGTTGGTGGTTGCCTGGAATGAGATACCACAGGAGGACATTGACCACCTGATCAGAAGCATGCCTAGGCGCGTTGGAGAATGCGTAGCACATCAGGGTGCATCCACACATTATTAAAGGTCAAAGGGCTTTAAAGCAGTGCAATCACTTTGAAATTTTTATTATTTACTTATTATGCTTCATTAAGTACTTTTATTAAAATAAAACCATTTAAACTGGGTGTTCGGATTTATATGTCACTTAGTATATATTTATTTTGTGTTGTTTTATTAGTTTTTACCGTAACGAATCCTATACATACAATGTAACGTCTCTCAGGATAATAAACAATCTAAATTTGAGAGCCGAAAAATCTATTCCAGACCATGATCCTTTTTACACTAGCGCTGTATACCTTTCCGTAATTATAATCCTTCTCTCTCTCTCTCCTTGTTTCAGTCCATCCGCTAATTCAGGTTCGCAACCAGCTTGTTGGAGCACCGGTGAACACCGACGTCACCCTCCAGTGTCACGTGGAGGCCTCGCCGAAAGCAATCAACTACTGGACTAGAGAGAGCGGTGAGTTTGGGTTAAGGCTTTGGGGTAGGGGTGAGCGGGCAATGGGCAGAAGTGCTTGCTAACCTATTCATAAGGACGCTCGGTGCTCTACGCTGTCTCTCGCTGACCACATTTACACCTAGGACTGACACGCACACATGTCCGCAATTCCAGGATGCGGAGTGCGATCGCTTGGTGGTATACAGGGTGAATGGGCCAGAAGGGTGACAAATAAAATTACCATATCAACAATTACTTGAATTATAATGACTATACTAAAACTGTAATGACTCATCGATGTTCACGTGAACATCACTTAACTACCAGTAGTCGGCTGTTCATAGGCGGGGCATGAATGTTTAACATGGGTGAACTAGATTTGTCGCATGCTTAATAAAGAGTGTTTTGAAACATATTGTAAGTAAAAAATTTGGGAATTACCTTTATTCATCGTCGCTTCCACTTACATCTGACAGTAATAAACTGTCGCTATCGCTTTCCTCGTTGAAATTGACTATAACTGGCTCTATGATGGTGTCGATGTGGTGGTCAGGCTGCCACTTTTTTGTTTCTTCCTTCACAACATGACGGATAGCATTCTGCCAAGCTTCGGGCGTTACTAGCTGTATGGAAGTCTCAAGTAAAACCTTAACGTCTGGTAATTTGAAGGTTGTGTTATGGCGCGCAATATAACCCTTCACTTGAGCTCAGATGAGCTCTATTGGGTTCAGTTCACAGTGGTAGGGCGGTAACCGCAGCACAGTGACACCACATTGACGGGCCATCTCATCAGTCACGTAACTAATGTTCGCAGGTTTGTGCTGTTTAATTTTTTCATACAATTCCGCTTTCACACATGAATCGTCAAACGGGATTCCTTTTTCGCGCAACCATTGCTGCATGTCACTTTTTCGAGATCCCATAGTCGGTACACGTTCGGCTCGACGACTATGGTAGGAAGCATTATCCATGACGATCACAGAGTTGGGCTCAACTCGCTGAAGCACCCCTTGAAACCAGCTCTCGAAGCAGCTGGCATTCATTTCGTCATGGTAATCACCTCCTTTCTTAGAGACGAAAATCAAGTCACACTCTTCTAAAAAGCCACTATCGCTACCAATATGAGTTACGATCAATCTTTGACCTTTCCCTGACGGTCCATGAAGACCTGTTGACAAACCTTCAATGCTTGCTTGTCGGTTACTCACTACGTTTTTGTCTATCCAGGTTTTTTTAACTGTGTGACCTGCATTTACCCATGTCTCGTCCAAATAATAGATTTTTCTGCTTTGTCGCCTATATTCAATCATTTCGCGTAGGTATTTTCGACGCCAGGCGACTATTTCAGGTCTCTCTATCAATACTGACTTCCGATTACGCGTTTCTTAACGAAAATTAATTTCGTGCAGGGATTTCCTCATTACCTCGACGCTCATTTGGGGTATAATTTCATTTTCCTTGATCGCTGCATGTACAGCCTTGAGGGTTGGTATCTCATTCCTAAAGAAGAATGAATGTACGGTTCGCCTTAACGCTATTTTGCTATCGTCATCCAATTTAACGGCCTTTCGTCCCTTCAAATAAAACTTTGGATCAGTAGTAGCTCCAGTTTTCTTCTTTTCATGCACCACCCTGCGAATGGTCCACTCTGGAACGCCTGTCATACTTTCACAACGCGCGAGTGCATCTCCCTGCGACATAGCTCTGTTCAGATAATTGAACACGTTGAGCACGATTTCTTTCGCGTCCCTCTTCAGTGCTTTACGAAGCCGTCTACTTTTTCCATGGCTTTCAGTACTTCCACTCGTGCCATTTGTACTCTCCATGGTTAAGTATAACCAAAACAGTAACCACAGAAACCACAACAATAACAATCACACAACAATTCCTATAAAAACACACAATATGCGATCGCTCAACGAAACACGTTCCAATGCGTTGCCGACGCCTACGAGTCTGCCGATCGAGGCGCGTCTTTGATTTCATTGGTTCTACCGGCGGAGAACAATCAGCCATTATTTCCATCTCTGTCTGTGCTGTTGACCACCGCAAAGCCACAGAAACGACATATGTCGTACGCTATACGGCTGTACTGGAAGGAAGCCGCGATCGAGCTCTGATCACGTGTTGATCACGCGTATGAGTCATTACAGTTTTAAATACTTGTAGTATAACGTTTTTTTTTTATTTGTGATAATAGTATGGGAGGCGAGACTTAGATACTACAGGGTGGCCGATATGCAACCGACTGGTTTGTATCTTGAATAGTTGTGGAATGAAGTGTTATTCACCTCTTTGTTCAAATTTCCGCACCAAATGACGAATAGTGTTGACGCTGGGCACGTTATTTCGGTGCTGTTGCATCTTGTAGAACTTCCGATTTCACAATGTTTTCTCTTAAAGCTTTCAGAGGATAGTCTGATAGATTATTTAGAAACAAAAAAAAGTGCGGATGAAGTACGCTTTCCATGAAATTTTTTTCCCAAAACACTGTATTTTTATCTGTTCTTTCCATCGTTATTTTCACCGCCATCTAGCTGCCGTATGACGTAGACGTAGACGGCTGTGCATATGTCATATATGACAGGCGCTTGCCTGCGGTGTTGCCGGATTGGGCTCCGCATTTAGGGAAAAATATGAAAAGTGGAACATTTAGACAGGGTGTTTCAGTTTATTGTTGCATAACTTTAAGATTCGATAGAACTTTTAAAATTAATGCATAAAGTCTATATAAACGTGGGTCGAAAAATGCGTGGCTCTCGAAATACAGGGTGTTTAAATTTACTTTCTAAAATAGTTTTTTTTAAATATTTCGTACGATATTTGATGTATAACAGTGAAAATTGGTACTCAAGGGTTTTTTGGTACGACAAAACGAACCATGGGCATAGTTTTACTGTAGCCGCTAGAGGGCGCTCTCTACTGTGCCTGTAGTGTATTAAAATGACCGAAAAATTTTTCTTAGTACAATTTTTTGCTTTTTGAATAAAAAAACTGATTCTTCGTACTTTTCTGCATAAGAAAGCTCTCCTGTGAGTTTTCGTGATAGTTAGCCGTTTTTGAGATATTTCGATTTTTAAGGTTCGATGCATTTTTAACTATTTATGATAAAATAACGTTAAAAAGTCAGTAACTCGATAATTTTTAGAAGTAGGCTGAGCCTACAAATATTTTAGAAATTGAAAGCAGAATAAGGTTAAACGTCAATTAGTTAACAGTTAGTTTTGTTGTCTGTTGAAACCTGAAACGTTTTTTGCAATTGTGAATGCACGAAATTTAGTTTCTTTTACCTGTTTTTTTTTTTGTAAGTTTTAGATCAAGAGTTAGCGGATATTCATTTTGTGTATGGCTTTGTAAATGGAAACGCAGCAGAAGCAGCCAGAGAATACGCACGAAGATTGCCAAACAGACGACATCCAACTCGCTCAGTATTTGTAAGAGTGCATCGCCAAATAATTGAAAATGGTTTTGGGAATCTCCAAAGGGATCAAAACATAAATGTTCGTCAGCGCAGATTTACCCGTATGATTCTGCGTGAGTTTGATAGAGATCCGACCACAAGTGTTAGGAGAGTTTCTGGTGCCTTGAGAATTTCAGCAAGCCATGTTCACCGTGTTCTTAGAAATGACCATAGACGTCCTTACCATTTGCAACCTGTGCAAGGACTACAGCCAGGGGACGGAAAACGAAGAATCACATTTTGTCAGTGGATTCTTGATAGAACTGATAATAATAGGGAGTTTTTAAGTAACGTTTTATGGACCGATGAGTCATGCTTATCTAGACGTGGAGTGGTAAATTTTCATAATCAACATATTTGGTCGCATGAAAATCCGCATGCAGTTCGGGAAAGAAATTTTCAGCATGAATTTAGTGTGAACGTGTGGATTGGTATCTACCGTAATCGACTATTTGGACCCTACCTTTTGCCTGCAAGGTTAAATGCTGCGACCTTCTTGGAATTTTCAAAGGCTGAACATGCAAATATGTGGGATGATGTTATATTAGATTTAAGAAGATTGGCCTGGTTCCAGCTTGATGGTTGTCCAGCTCATTATTCGAGAATAGTTAGAAACTGGCTGGACGAAAATTATCCAGAAAGATGGATCGACCGTGGAGGACCAGTCGCCTGGCCTCCACGATCCCCGGACCTAAATCCATTAGATTTCTTTGTGTGGGGATTTCTAAAAGAAAAAGTGTACCAAACTCCCGTAACCACAAGAGATATACTAATAGACAGAATCAGGAATGTATGGGATGAAATAAGGCCTTATTTGAATAATGCTATACCACGTTCGATCATTCGTAAATGTGAATTGTGTATTGAACAATTGGGTTTACGTTTCGAGCAACTACTTTAGATTTTGTATGTTTGTCCTAACTATCCAATAGCATTTTAGTTGTAAATAATTAATTTAATTGGTTAAAAATAATATTGGAAAATTAAACAAATTAATATTCTGTTTTCTGTGTTTATTTGTAGTTAGGAATTATTGCTGTGTTTAAAAACACAATCTAAACGATCATCTTAGTTACTTGTAAAAACGGCTAACTATAACGAAAACTCACAGGAGAGCTTTTTTATGTTGAAAAGTACGCAGAATCAGTTTTTTTTATTCAGAAAGCAAAAAATTGCACTAAGAAAAAAATTTCGGTCATTTTAATACACTACAGGTACAGTAGAGAGCGCCCTCTAGCGGCTACAGTAAAACTATGCCCATGGTTCATTTTGTCGTACCAAAAAACCCCTGTATACCATTTTTCACTGTTATACATCAAATATTGTTCGAAATATTTAAAAAAAACTATTTTAGAAAGTAAATTTAAACACCCTGTATTTGGGAAGCCACGCATTTTTCGACCCATGTTTATATAGACTTTATGCATTAATTTTAAAAGTTCTATCGAATCTTAAAGTTATGCAACAATAAACTGAAACACCCTGCATATATGTATTAATTATTAATGAATCACAAAAACGAAAAACTGAAAGAAGCAACACTAGTAAGCGAAAAAATGATAAATTATAAATAATTATAAAAAAACTATAAATAAAAACAGTAGTAAAACAAAAACTAATTCCATGTAATTATAAAAAACAAAAAATAACAAACAGCAGTAAAATAAAAAGCAATTAAAAAAAACAGTAGTAAAACAAAAAAAACAATACCATGTTGAATAAAAAGCAATTCTAAGTGACAACACAAAACAAAAAGTAAAAACAGTAGTAAAACGAAGAATAATTTCATTCCATCCAAATTGCTTTTTATTTTGCTGTTAGTTATTTTTTGTTTTTTATAACTAGATGGAATTGCTTTTTATATTACTGCTGTTTGTTATTTTTTGTTTTATACTTAGTAACAGTCACTTTTAATTTTACTACTGTTGTTTGTTTCAGTTTTTTGTTTTTGTCTTTCATTAATTAATATGTATATATATACAGGGTGACTTTGAAGTTGAGTCATTAATTTTCAGATAATGATTGTAGAAGGAAGATAAACCAAAATATGTGTGTAAAAATAAAAAAAAAATAAAAAAAAAATTTACCTTGTTTTATAAAGTATCCTCCCGACAAGTATTTCAGTGCGGACCTGTATTTGATCGTGAGGTCCCCTGTGAGGTCTTAAGTCACCTGATTCACGAGCCCGTTGTACTACATTAACAAAGGCACGAGGGGTTGGTTGCACTCGATTGGGAAACCGATCCGCATAAACATGTGCCATTTTTTATTTCGTTTGAGCCACGCAACAGATATCACTATTCACTGATACTGACTGTATACAAATGAATGAAACAATTTAAAAACACCGTTCCAAATTCTTTCGCTTTTTTGTTTCCGATGCGATGAACCGATACGGCGGATTATATCCGTTGTCGCCAAACACGAGCACATTGAGACAGGGCGGTACTCAAACTTCCAAAGGGCTATAACTTTGTTACTTTAATTTTACCAGAAGAATGGTAAAGGAAAAAAACATTTCTTTTGATCAGATCTACTCACTGTTAAAATAAATGACTCAACTTCGAAGTCACCCTGTATATATATAAATGTATATATGTATATAAATTTTCCACTTTTCATATTTTTCCGTATATATGACATATCCACAGACGTCAGCGTCATATGGTAGATGGCGGTGGAAATAATGGGGGAAATAGCTGCTAAAAAATACAGTGTTTTTTTTTTTTCAAGTGAAAAAACAGTGAAATCGGTAGTTCTACAAGACGCTACAGTACCGTTATTTTGACCGAAACCTTGTCGCTCCACGATGAATTAGACACATGCGGTTTAAACAACTACTACTGAAATGCGTATATCAAAAATGGCGCACAATTTAAATCAGTCAGTTTTATATTGGCCAGGATATCTATTCTATCACCTATCTATTTTACGTAAGGTTTTCAGTTATCGTTCATATTCTTTGTAATAGTGTCAAAGCAATGTTTCAAAGTCTTTTTCTTTGATGTTTTATAGGAGAAATGATCTTGGCGAACGACAAATACTACATGACAGAAATCAACAACTCGTATTACAGTGTACACTTGAAATTGGTGATCAGGCGCTTCCAGAAATCGGACTTAGGAGGGTACAAATGCATATCCAAGAATTCTATAGGGGATGCTGAAGGAACTATCAGACTTTATGGTGAGCCTCTTATTTGTTAGACATTTCTTGACAAGGTGGATGTTTGAAAGGTTTTGTTTCGGACTAGAGTCATTAAGAAATGAAAACGACTTAGAATAATGCATTCAGATGGAAACTTGAGGAACTATTAAAAAATTTAATTATAAAACAAAAAATTGTTTGTGAGGATACAATATCATACATTTAGAAAAACGAATAATTTTGGAACATCTTAAAATTCGTTTAATTTTCTATATATACGTAAATATTCATATTCTTGCCTTAATTTAACCGACCTCGAACAGATGAAAATTATAAAATACATTTCGTAGTTGGGAAATCGAAAGTGCAATATGCTTTAGCGAGCAACAATATCAGAAAGAAAATATTAATAAACGAATTTTACAATTGTTCCACAGAGCAGAACAAAACAATTTTATTGATGTTCGCAAATGAATAAACTTGTATCGCATAATAGCAGTATAAAAATGATATAAGACAAACTTGTTCAGTAAGCTGAAATATCGTATAAAATTGTTATTGAAACGTTTATAAATAGTATTAAAATTTGTCGTGAAACTGTTTTCTATACTAAGTGACATATAAATCCGAACACCCAGTTTAAATGGTTTGATTTTAATAAAAGTTGGTGAATGTATTTATCTTACTGTAAATAACAAGCGAAAAAATTTTCAGCCTTATCAGTTGGACATTCCGGTTTTTATACTGTTTTTTTTAATTCATTAACGCTCTAAAAATGAATATTTCAGCCGCAGTAAAGAATCAACGTTGGCGGATTTTGGTTCTTGACATCCTTTACGATCGGTTACGATGCCTAGAGTACGGAGACCTGTACGATTTCGTCAACTTAGTGAGTTTGATAGGGGCCGTATAGTGGGACTTCGGGAAGCTGGACTTTTTTTTCGGGCAATTGCAGTTAGAATGGAAAGAAGTGTATACACTGTGGTTAGGTGTTGTCAGGCATGGCTTCGAGAAGGCCGTACGCAAAGAGCAAGGGGCACTGGACGCCGCCGTAGAACAACAGACCGTGAAGATCGCCGCCTAAGATTATTGGCCTTAAGGGACCGTTTCTCCACTACCAGGTCCATTGCAAATGAATGGTTTGCAGAACACGGAGGACCTATTGGCATGCGAAGTGTTTACCGACGAATGAGAAGTTTTGGCTTGTTTTCATACCGGCCACACTGGGTCCTCCCTTTAACTCGAGAACACCGACGTAATCGCCTTGAGTGGTGCAGACAACGGTCACTCTGGGACCAGGAATGGAACAGTATTGTCTTTAGGGACGAGTCTCGATTTTGTTTAGGCATACACGATGGTCGTGCCAGGGTTAGAAATCGACGTGGTGAAAGGAGGAATCCACAGTTTTTTGTTGAAAGACATGTTCATCACACTGTTGGAGTTATGGTTTGGGGTGCTATAGCTTATGGTTCCAGGTCACCTTTAATCTTCATCAGAGGTAACATGAACGCGCAGCGTTATATCCACGAAGTTCTAGAACCCCATCTGTTACCCTATCTTGACACCCTGGCAGATCCAACTTTCCAACAAGCTAATGCCCGACCACATGTTGCAAGAGTCACAATAGACTTCTTTCAACATAATGATGTCACATTGTTACCATGGCCACCAAGCTCTCCCGACTTATCCCCAATTGAGCACGTGTGGGATATGATGGGTAGGAGATTGCTCAATTTGCAACGTCCTCCTCAGACTCTAGAAGCACTTCGAGAGGAGTTGGTGGTTGTCTGGAATGAGATACCACAGGAGGACATTGACCACCTGATCAGAAGCATGCCTAGGCGCGTTGGAGAATGCGTAGCACATCAGGGTGCGTCCACGCATTATTAAAGGTCAAAGGGCTTTAAAGCAGTGCAATCATTTTGAAATTTTTATCATTTACTTATTATGCTTCATTAAGTAATTATACAAAATTTTATTAAAATAAAACCATTTAAACTGGGTGTTCGGATTTATATGTCACTTAGTATATAAAGCAAAATACTTCTTAAAAGCTTATTTGTTTTACTGGCAATTATATTAAAACACAATTGCGTTATAAGAGCAGTAATAAAGCAAATATAAAATAAAATAGCACGGATAGTCGAAGCATATAAAATAAAAAATAAAATAAAGTGCTGGGGATGGTGCCTTTCCATTCATTCTGCCAGCATTTGTTAGATTAGAAACGTACCTTGATTAATACACTACTAATATTTTCCTTTAACATTTCAGAAGTGGAGTTGCCGAAAAGCGAAGACGACGAAACCGAAGAGGAGCTACAAATAATCGAAGAATCTGAAGAATCCAGCGAAGACATGGAACAGCGGCTGTACGGTTCGCAGGGTTCCTTGACCGAGACGGAGGGCATCAATCTGGCCCTTAACGTTAGCAGCAGTTGCGCTCTGTTGCCCTTCGGAAGACTGTATACGGTGGTGTTGGTGCTGCTACGGATCTACTGACTACCGCCAACGGCACTCAGTGTATAACTCGTATGTGATATGTGCCAAATTTATATGTGCTTCGGTTAGGGCCGCTACTCATAGTGCATGAATTGATGCAACGACGGCTGCTCCGTTGATTATGGAGATGTCAAGTGAAGTCATGTACAAGTGCAACTTCCGAGAAGTGCACTATTAGTAGCAGGCCTTAGGTAGAACTTACACTATATGGAGGCGGTGTGCAGTTTGATGATGATACTAAACGTTGAACTAGGACATCAGTTTTTTTTTTGTTAATTTTGAGTGTCATGTCAACATACAAATATGAGTTAGTAACGTTGAAGTCAAGCGTCAAGCATGCACCGGGAGGGTGCTGCGATCACCCGACGATACCAGTAAATTGAGTGGTCTTGGCGGCAAAGATATAGGCAGGCTCACAGCGAACATTTTACCACGGGTATTTCAGTAGCGGCGTTTACGATTATTTAACGTTGTGCTTTTACTTGTTTTAACGCATCAGTCATTTGGATAAGCTTCTTTTCAAATAGGTCGACTCTATATCTCAAGACTCGTCACAAGCAGATCAACTGTAAAATATCTACGGTTCGTACAAAGCCCAGCAAAGAGCCTCGACGCCAGGATGATGTATATAGACGGAAACACCTACTACAAAATATGGGGTTGTCCAAAACGAACGCAGGAAAGTAAACGCATATTAAAACAAGAAAGATTGATATTCAAATCAAGTTGGGTACTTTATTTTGAAGGTTCATTTATACCGTTTATGTATAAAAAATAATATCGCTCAAATGTTCACCACGGCTGGATTTACAGACGTCCACGCGATGGTCTAGAAATGAACCGAGTATAATCTAGTTGATGACAGAGTTGGGTGTAAAATACAGAGTCAACCTACTTGACGTCTTTCTTTAAAATGGATTCTTGCGATCTTCCCCAGAAATGCTCGATATGTAATCAGTAAGTGATTCGACACTCCATAGATTTAAGTCTGTTGTGAGTTGAAATGGCATTCGGTAGATTAAGTCAAGTTAAGAAAAAGTTATCTGTTGGATTATCTACATGTTAAACTGTCTCTGTTTGACTTTCTGGTGGTGTAAGTTCTATCAGTTTCGCTATTACCTACAATGCTGTGGATGTATATCTCGGTACGGTCACGTTTAGCTGGTCATACATTATTATATAAACTTCCGTCGCAGAGTGAAAATCAAAAGATGCAATTAACAAGGAAGACGATATTTTATCACTCAAAACTGATTGCAGTTCAGGTTGTGGAAATTGAATTAAGCAATATGAATATGCATAGGGTGTTCCATTTAAAATTCTTATGAAATCGTTCATTTTGCATTGTTGACCACCCAGTATAAACTGTACAAAACCTGAAAAAGTAAGTAAATATGGCACCATAAAAATGTTTAAAGAATCATTCAGCATTCTAGCCATAATAGTTACGGAGGCGAGAGTTCGGTGTTTTATTCGATGGTTTGTTAAACATCTCAACAATTTGGAAATAGAACCCTATGTATGTTAACAAAATGCTTTCCATTTAAAAAATGATTGGGTCATCGCACAATTATGAATCACCCTGTCGAATAAAAATAATTTCCAAGGATAATACTGTTGACTATAAATTCCGTAATTAACTTTTTTAGGTACTACGCGCAATAACATTGACCTTAATGGAATTTTCTTACAATGAACATGTCAATTTGATGAGAAATATTGACCCGATTTTCTTATTTCTCTGGCTTTACTGCCAGCCAACTTATGCTTTCGTTATATCAAAGAAGGCTGGTTTGAGATTTTCAAGAAACACACGAACATACAGTCCTTATAACTCATAAAATAAGCGAGTCGATAATCAACAGGTTCTTATTCCTCATTCTAAAACGTAAAGATTGCATCAATTTGACGTAAGCTATGTAATAGTATACGACCCTAAAGGACTCTGCCATTTGTAAAAATTAGCAGTAGAATTATATGAACGTTGAAATGTTTGCAAAGTCATAGATGCTTGCAACCTGCATATCCATATCGGTTTGTTTGTTATACTTGTACGATACGGTATATTTAGATTTTATTTACTCTACAGTGTTATTATTTCGACATATGTTGTTTATACTTAAGCCAAATAAACTGTTTTAAATTACGCTTGACTTTTATTATACCTGTTCGACAAAATTCTGGATTCGGACTAACAAGAATACAATATACACTAAGTATGTGTCATAAATTTAACAGACGATTCTTTGGGTAATTTTAGGACAAAAAGCTCTCATAAATATAGGTCCGCAAATTTTTCGTTCTCAAGATAAATTGTTTTTAGTAAATATCTTAAATATCCTATACCTAATTCTGTTGTAATTTGACGGTGGTATTTATAACATTGAGGAGCTAATTTAACTTAATTAAATTGATTTGAGCGTCTCGAAGCGGGATCTGAACAAATATACTAAGTGACATATAAATCCGAACACCCAGTTTAAATGGTTTTATTTTAATAAAATTTTGTATAAGTACTTAATGAAGCATAATAAGTAAATGATAAAAATTTCAAAATGATTGCACTGCTTTGAAGCTCTTTGACCTTTAATAATGTGTGGATGCACCCTGATGTGCTACGCATTCTCCAACGCGCCTAGGCATGCTTCTGATCAGGTGGTCAATGTCCTCCTGTGGTATCTCATTCCAGGCAATCACCAACTCCTCTCGAAGTGCATCTAGAGTCTGAGGAGGACCTTGCAAATTGAGCAATCTCCTACCCATCATATCCCACACGTGCTCAATTGGGGATAAGTCGGGAGATCTTGGTGGCCATGGTAACAATGTGACATCATTATGTTGAAAGAAGTCTATTGTGACTCTTGCAACATGTGGTCGGGCATTATCTTGTTGGAAAGTTGGATCTGCCAAGGTGTCAAGATAGGGTAAAAGATGGGGTTCTAGAACTTCATGGATATAACGCTACGCGTTCATGTTACCTCTGATGAAGATTAAAGGTGACCTGGAACCATAAACTATAGCACCGCAAACCATAACTCCAACAGTGTGATGAACATTGTCTTTCAACAAGAAACTGTGGATTCCTCCTTTCACCTCGTCGCCTTCTAACCCTGGCACGACCATCGTGCATGCCTAAACAAAATCGAGACTCGTCACTAGAGACAATACTGTTCCATTCCTGATCCCAGAGTGACCGTTGTCTGCACCACTCAAGGCGATTACGTCGGTGTTCTCGAGTTAAAGGGAGGACCCAGTGTGGCCGGTATGAAAACAAGCCAAAACTTCTCATTCGTCGGTAAACACTTCCAATAGGTCTTCCGTGTTCTGCAAACCATTCATTTGCAATGGACCTGGTAGTGGAGAAACGGTCCCTTAAGGCCAATAATCTTTGCGTACGGCCTTCTCGAAACCATGCCTGACAACACCTAACCACAGTGATTACACTTCTTTGCACTCTAACTGCAATTGCCCGAAAAGAAAGTCCAGCTTCCCGAAGTCCCACTATACGGCCCCTATCAAACTCACTAAGTTGACGAAATCGTACAGGTCTCCGTACTCTAGGCATCGTAACCGATCGTAAAGGATGTCAAGAACCAAAATCCGCCAACGTTGATTCTTTACTGCGGCAGAAATATTCATTTTTAGAGCGTTAGTGAATTAAAAAGAAGCAGTATAAAATCCGGAATGTCCAACTGATAAGGCTGAAAATTTTTTCACTTGTTATTTACAGTAAGATAAATACATTCACCAACTTTTATTAAAATAAAACCATTTAAACTGGGTGTTCGGATTTATATGTCAGTATATTTGTCACAAAAAAATGTACGCCACTGACTTTTGTACAATTTCAATTATGTTCTTTGGATTAACCAAATAGAAGCACAACTTTTACGTTTCTTGAATTTTTTTCATATCTTGCTTAATTTTCGAGAAAAAAGATACTCTTATTTGCTGTATTCCAAAAATTTTATTGCTTATTTTCTTAATTTTGCATATATCACGCCAAAACTAATCAGAAAATCACGGAAATGAAATTTGTGAACATTGAAAAATGAAAGTAGATTATCTCACAGACATAGACAAGTCGGCAGCAGTGGCACGGATTTGCATAATGTGAATACCGAAAAGAAAAGGTTTTCACGGTAAGCCCAGGATGACATTTTGGACACATATCGTCAAGATGTTGCCTGCACCATTAATAACGACTTCATAATTGCACATAAGAATATGAAAAGTGTATCAATAACGTCGACACGTATCGGAAATCCGCGCACTTCCGGATACAACTACCTGGCCCACAAGCAAATATAATGAAGGAACATCAACAATGGCGAAACATTTGTCAATAATTAACCCTTTGAAGCATCACGTTTATCCAGCGACATGGAAAATACCCGGTGACCTTTAAATGTCGTCGCCCGCGCCCATCTCATCGCGCGCTTCTGGACATTCATGATATTTAATGTCGTATCTGCCGCTTTAATTAACATTTTTCTGTCATATTCCGGAAGGTGGAAAGTATGAAATATACTAAGTGACATATAAATCCGAACACCCAGTTTAAATAGTTTTATTTTAATAAAAGTTGATAAATGTATTTATCTTACTGTAGATAACAAGTGAAAAAAATTTCAGCCTTATCAGTTGGACATTCCGGTTTTTATACTGCTTTTTTTTAAATTCACTAACGCTCTAAAAATGAATATTTCAGCCGCAGTAAAGAATCAACGTTGGCGGATTTTGGTTCTTGACATCCTTTACGATCGGTTACGATGCCTAGAGTACGGAGACCTGTACGATTTCGTCAACTTAGTGAGTTTGATAGGGGCCGTATAGTGGGACTTCGGGAAGCTGGACTTTCTTTTCGGGCAATTGCAGTTAGAGTGCAAAGAAGTGTAGACACTGTGGTTAGGTGTTGTCAGGCATGGCTTCGAGAAGGCCGTACGCAAAGAGCAAGGGGCACTGGACGCCGCCGTAGAACAACAGACCGTGAAGATCGCCGCCTAAGATTATTGGCCTTAAGGGACCGTTTCTCCACTACCAGGTCCATTGCAAATGAATGGTTTGCAGAACACAGAACACCTATTGGCATGCGAAGTGTTTACCGACGAATTAGAAGTTTCGGCTTGTTTTCATACCGGCCACACTGGGTCCTCCCTTTAACTCGAGAACACCGACGTAATCGCCTTGAGTGGTGCAGACAACGGTCACTCTGGGATCAGGAATGGAACAGTATTGTCTTTAGTGACGAGTCTCGATTTTGTTTAGGCATGCACGATGGTCGTGCCAGGGTTAGAAGGCGACGTGGTGAAAGGAGGAATCCACAGTTTTTTGTTGAAAGACATGTTCATCACACTGTTGGGGTTATGGTTTGGGATGCTATAGCTTATGGTTCCAGGTCACCTTTAATCTTCAGCAGAGGTAACATGAACGCGCAGCGTTATATCCACGAAGTTCTAGAACCCCATCTTTTACCCTATCTTGACACCTTGGCAGATCCAACTTTCCAACAAGATAATGCCCGACCACATGTTGCAAGAGTCACAATAGACTTCTTTCAACATAATGATGTCACATTGTTACCATGGCCACCAAGATCTCCCGACTTATCCCCAATTGAGCACGTGTGGGATATGATGGGTAGGAGATTGCTCAATTTGCAACGTCCTCCTCAGACTCTAGATGCACTTCGAGAGGAGTTGGTGGTTGCTTGGAATGAGATACCACAGGAGGACATTGACCACCTGATCAGAAGCATGCTTAGGCGCGTTGGAGAATGCGTAGGACATCAGGGTGCATCCACACATTATTAAAGATCAAAGGGCTTTAAAGCAGTGCAATCATTTTGAAATTTTTATCATTTACTTATTATGCTTCATTAAGTACTTATACAAAATTTTATTAAAATAAAACCATTTAAACTGGGTGTTCGGATTTATATGTCACTTAGTATATCTATACAGTATGGCCCCTATTTCCCCTTTTACAAGATACAAGAAAGCTCCGACAAAGTATTGCGGTAATGGTTTTAATTCTGATTCCAAGAATATTCAGGGTGGTCCTCTTCAGATTTATAATGGAAACCCCCTTTTTTACTTTTTAGATTCTATATGAAGTTTTTAGTAACTTTTGTACTTGTAGTAAAGTTTATACCTATCTTCAATCGTCGTGAAGCTATTTGAGTTTATAATAAAATTCTAGACATTGTGATAATAAGGGATTATATCTCAAGAATAATAATCAATATAGAGGGTGCGTTATCTACTACTTTTTTTCTATTTGAAAAATCAACACGCTTTTTACCAGGTGAAATCGAATTGTTTGTTGATAAATGAAGGTTTATTTATGCCATTTATGTATGAAAAATAACATCAGTCATGTTTCCACCGCGGCTTCGTTTCCAGGCTAACATCCGAACATCAAAATTTTCAATGACTTTTCTCTGAATAATCGGGTCTATGGCCGCAATTTCGGTCAGAATATTGCGCTTTAGGTCTTGAGTTGTCTGGGAACCATTCGCATACACTTTTCCTTTCAAAAATCCCCAAAGAAAATAGTCAAGAGGTGTTACATCGCAAGATTTCGGGGGCCAACTGACATCTGAATTTCGTGAAATTATGCGGTCTTGAAATTTCGTGTGCAATAAGGCTATTGTTTGGCGAGATGTGTGAGCCGTTGCTCCGTCTTGATGAAACCAAAGATAGTCAGCACCAGTACGATCCAATTGTGGCCACAAAAAGTCTGTTAATATGCCCCGTTGACGGTAATGGCCTTCTCTTCGGCATCTTCAAAGAAGAATGGTCCAACGATGCCACCAGCCCATAATCTGCACCAAACAGTCACTTTTTCAGGATGGAGAGGTTGTTCACGATATTGGTGTGGATTTTCAGCCCCACAGAATCTGCAAGTTTGCTTATTTACGTACCCATTGAGGTGAAAATGAGCCTCATCGGAAAAGAGCACTTTGGCCTAAAATCCGTCTTCTCTTTCCAGCATCCAATTATCGCTGTTGATGGTCTGCCGGCTTCAATTCCTGTGTTAGTTGGATTTTGTATAGATGGAAGTGTAAATCAATGTATAAAATCCGGCGTAAAGTGGTCTTACTAATTCCCAATTGTTGCGAAC